ACAGACTTTCATTCTGTTGCCCAGCCAAGAGTGTCATGGTGTCAGCCTAACTCACAGCAACCTCAAACTCCTGGGCTCAAGCAATCCTGCTGCCTCAGCCTCCCCAGTAGCTGGGACTACATGCGTGCGCCACCATGTCCAGCTAGTTTTTTCTATTTTTAGTTACCCGGCTAATTTTTTTTCTATTTTTAGTAGAGACAGGGTCTCACTCTTGCTCAGGCTGGCCTCAAACTCCTGACCTCAAGCAGTCCTCCCGCCTCAGCTTCCCACAGTGCTAGGATTACAGGCATGAGCCACCACACCCAGCCAGAATCCACTTATATAGGTGGGCCATATCAAGTACTTTTGTTATATTTTAGGGACTGTAATTTGGCAATAATATAAGTAAATCTGAATCACAGACCACATTACAAGAGAAATCTACTGTAGGATGTAAAAACTGGCCTTGTACAGTTTTACCTTTGGAGTCTTTGGCTCACTGACACGCAAAGCCTCTCTAAAGTAGGCATCCACTGCATAGTTTGCTTTGCGTTCTCGTTTAGGAGGTTCAATCCATTGCACCATACCAAGCTACACACAACAAACAAGGACAAAGGTTTAATGACTTCAAACTGTTCTATCAAAATTAAGTATATTAAGGCTGCAGAAGCATGAGAAAACCAAAACCATTAGAAAAATATCAAGACTCACTTCATAAATCACAACTATACCTCTAAAGTTCCAAAACCTTTTAAGTGTACACAAAGTTTAGATGCAAAGATAGTTTCCTTCTTTTTAAAGTATGTTTAAAAATTAGTTCTTCCTTAGTAACTGCGAAGAATCTGCAAAATCTGCTTAGTATTTTTTGTCAAATTAAATATATAAATAGCAGTTAATATAGAAGGAACAGTAACACTGATTCTGCTAAGTGTGGTTAAGAGTGTGAATTAGAAAATAGATGAGAGAGGTGAATGAGGAATATCAACATGACAGGCATTTACCCCTTTCAAATCAAGAGAAATGTTCAAATGAGACCTTCTGGAAAAGTACCTGTGGTATAGTGGGAAAAACTAGTAGAAACAGAAAGACCTAGATTTGAATTCAGGTTCTGCCACTTCACCAGTTGTATAACTTTAGGTAAATTATTTTTTCCATCTGTAAAGTAAGAATAATAATACCTACCTTGAGGATTAAATGTGACCATACATGTGAAAGCATTAAGTAAACCACCAAGAGTTAAATATGAGATATTATCAAACATCCAAAGTAGTGTGAACAATGATTTGGTAGCATTATTGAATTTTACCCCATTATCATCTAGAAAATACAATTTAACAGCAGACAAAACTGACAATGCAAAGTTGTGGAATCTGAGTAATGGTTTTCTAATCCATATTTTTTGTTGACTTCACAGTGCCTAGACTAGTGCCTTTACAGAAAAGAGGCCATTAATGTCCTGAAAGAGGCCATTAATGCACTATTAATGGTCTCACTCTATTTGATCTTGTCTAAAGGCTAGATTCCAACCTTGGCATCATATTTTAAGAGTGGATGATAAACTAAGATGATCAAGATGGTTAGAGATCTACAAATTTTCACAGTGTCTAGAAAAGACTAAAGACAGACATAATGGTGGCATTCACATATGTAAAAATCTACCAAACAGAAAAAAACAGTTCTTTATTGATCCATAAGATTAAAATCAATGTGGAAAGTTATAAGAAAGTAGACTGCTACTCAATATAATTTAACAACTATGCATTAAGTACCCACTGTATTATGTCCAAGTCAGTGTCAAGGATATAAAGATGAATAAAATAATCTCTTTCATCAAGAAGCTTATAAAATAAGTTAAATAAAAAGTTTTCTGAGAACCAGAGAATATAAAACAATGAAATGAACTATTGTAAGAGGGGTAAGCTTCTCAATATTACAGTGTTCAGTACCTACATATCTGTTCTAGATGCTAAAGACGGGATTTCTTTTTTTTTTTTT